GGGCTATATTTGGGGTGGCGTGTTTTACAGCGCTTTGCCAACAGCGCCAACCCACTGAAGTCTAGATTGCGAAGGGGGTGGGGGGCGGTACAAAATCCCGGGCACAACATCTGGCGGTTGCTCCCGGTGGTCCTTGTTAACGTGGCCTTGGCTCTCGTTGACAATGTTGAGAATCATGGGTCTGTGTACACTACTGTCGCGGCGTCATGAGGTGACAGGAGCACGGCCGGATCTGGGGAACAACATCGTCCGTGTTCGGGCGGTTTGAATCCACACCTGGTAAATGACAGTGTTTTTTCTTATCGGCGGTTTTGTTGGAGCGGAACCCAACCCTAGCGCTTATGCTGTCGACGTGAGGGGTGCGTTGCCAGGCGATGGCTCGTGCTCGGCTACAGGAACACCGGATACCGTCGCAGAACACAGCATTGCTGACACTCAGGACAGGAAAAGCAGAACGAGTTGAAAACGGATCGTCGGTGTGCCCGTGCGTCTTGCCATAGGCCCTGAAAATCATAGAGTGTCTGCCGGAACATTCCCATCTACCGCTGATGTAAGGGTCTTGCCCCCCGTAGGGTGCAGCGTTGTCGTGACAGCAGTGTTGCAGAACAAGTGTTTTTTTACCCACCCGCTGCAACCTCGGCCTTTTCCTTCTCCCGACCTCCACCGCCTCCCACCTCTATCTTTCTCTCGCCCACGATCTACCAGAATATGTTGAACCCTTGCAAGGTCTTATCCTTCGACGTCATTTCGGCACAACAAGCGCCGGCGAACGTATACCCGCTCATGGTGCATTTCTCGGCTTCCGGTCCGGTCGTTCGCATGAGGTGCGGCTTGGGCACGCCGGAGTGCAGTTCCACCCGCAATCCTTGTGTCGAGTTTCCCATAGCTTGCACCAACAAGATCACGCCTCTTCTCCATCGCGATTACGACATGATCCCGAAACCATACACCGCCATCCAACCGCACATGGCCGTCGATTGCGGACCGCACACGAAGGACGGGATACAAATGCCATCCGCTATTTCCATCGGAACGGAGGTATGTTTATTTATTTATTTATTTTTGCCTTCCGACAATTGCAGATGTACCTCAGAAAACTTTCACTTAATGTCTCATACTCTACATGAATATTAAACCAATACGAAGTACAACAACATATGTAGGACTTATTTCTACTGTCATTTACATCGTAAAAGTATCTCCTCTTCAACTTACCAATGACAATCCTGATGGTATCCTATATGCGTTCGTAAGCTTGCTAAAATACTACTGCGTTGATGTCCGCTTGTAAAAGCTGAAATCCAACAAATGCTTTGATCCATGCTACATCTCCGTGTTGGAAAAGCCCTTTC